ACAGAGGGGAAAAACCCCAGCCTGGATCCCAGGGCTGGTGTGAGTGTGTTTGTGCAGGTAAGCAGCCATTTCCCACGTGCCCTGGGTGTTCCTATTGACTCTTGTCAGATTAGGAGTGATGGAGAGGGCGGTGTGTAAACGTGAGCCCGTCAGGGTGCAGGATCTGCCTGGATTTCCCAGTCTCTCCCTTCGTTTTGCCCCAAAATCCTCACGTTTCTGGTGGGTTACGGTGGTTTTTGGGTGCAGGGAGGTGGAAAGTGCCAACTTCGCCTCCAGCCGGAGCAACAACTGCCCTTTCTGAGCTTTTCCCCGGGACCGAATTAAAACCCTGCGGAAGCCACAACATTTTCCGAAGGAACTGATTAAAATCTATTAAGTTATTTACAAGCGGGCTGGATCAGAGCTGCGTTATCTGGGAATACAACAGGAAAGCAACTTCTCTTGAAAATCTAAAAGGCGCAGGAGATTTCCTGGTCCCGGGACAGATTTATAAACCCTTTACACCCAGGGAACGCGCGGGCAGGCACATAGCAACTGCCTTTCATCTGTGTTTTGGACACGGCAGGCTCCAGTTCTTCTCCATAAATCCCATCCCATCCTATCCCACCTCCAAGTGCCGGGATGAGGCAGGGAGGGAGGATGCCAAACCCTCCGTCCTGCCCCAAACAGGTCTCCTGGGTGCGTTTTTGCAGGACGGGAGGTTGGGAAGAAGACCTGCAACATCCCTTTTTTTAAATTTATTATTATTATTATGATTACTTATTTATTTCTCTTTAGCAGGAGTTGAAGCGCACTGAAAAAAAATAAAAAAATAAATAAATAAATAAAAAAGATGATTACTTATTTATTTCTCTTTAGTAGGAGTTGAAGCGCACTGAAAAAAAAAAAAATGATAATAAAAAAATAGCCAACAAAAAAACCTGCCCAAAGTTGCAAGGTTTTATTTGGAATATGTTATTTTTCACCCCTCAGGATGCGCCGGGTCTGGATATCGTCATTATTATAAAAATAACAACCTCTTGTTACTGGAGGCCCTGGAGACCAGCGGATTTTTAGTAGGAGTAGTACAATATATCCCCTCAAGGGAAAAGGAAAATAAAAAAGGAAGAGCCGAATTCCACGCGACACACGGTGCTGCCTCCATCCCGCACCGCTTTTCCAAGGAGGGGAGATTTTCCAAGGATTTTCCGGGCGAGGATAAAGCTCTGGGCAGGGACAGGACCCGAGGGATGTCTGGAGGGTCTCAGATGGAGCCCCTCACCCGGGTTTTTCCTGCTCCTCACTCTGCCCCTCCACATTGTGGGGGTAACATCGATTGATCTCCCCCCGGGTATTGGGGGGGGAAACTCACAGGGTTTTTCAGAACCTGCCCTGCAGTTGCAGGACAAAAAATACTGCAAAAATACTGGAAAAATTTGAATTTTGTCCCAGGCTGGAAGACTGCACCTTCCTCGGGTCCCCTCTGTGCCACATTTTGAGTGATAATAATAATAATAATAACAACAACTATTTTTTTTTCCGGTCACAGGACAAAAAATAGTGCAAAAATACTGGAAAAATTTTAATTTTGTCCCAGGCTGGAAGACAGCACCTTCCTAGGGTCCTCTCTGTGCCACATTTTGAGTGCTAATAATAATAATAATAATAATAACAACAACAACAACTATTTTTTTTTTCCTTCCCCCCCCTCTCCCTTAGCACCTGGCATTCTGATTGCATTAGTAAGATGGGTTTCATTCTGCACCCGACCTAAAATGCTGGTTAAACCTGTCCTGGAGGAAGCTCCGCGTTACATAAAGGCAGCTGGGGCCCTGTGAAAATGCCACCTTGTTAATTGGGACAGCATCGGGCTAATTAGCAGCAGTCTGGAAAGAACTTTTCTGGACTTTTGGGGTTATTTTTTGGTTTTTTGGATTTTTTTTTTACGCTTACCTTCCCCATTCTGGCGTTCAGGACTCTCACCTGTATCTGGGGCACGGGAAGGAGCAGAGCTCTCCCAGGGCTTTTGCTTTGGAGAACGGGGAAATTACAGGCTAAAAGCTACGGGCTAAAATAGACCGAGCAGACAAAGGGTGGAAGAAAAGCTTTGTTTCTCCCCGTTTTTAGCGGATGGGGAACGGTGGCGGCAACTCCCCGTGGGGCAGGCAGAAAATCCCTGACCCCAACCCGGCTTTCGCCAGGTTGAGAGAGTGAGAGAGTCCCCACTCTTTTAAAAAAAAAACAACTCATCCCCTTTTAGCCTGGATCCCACATCTGGCTTTTCACTCCGCTTGCCAACGGCGGGTTGATTTTCACTAAATAACCTCCCCCACCCCCCCCTACTCCTTTACCCCCCTCTTGCTTCAGAGACATTAAAACGTGTGAGAAAGTGCAAATCCTAAATGAGCTCGATATTCACATGTTCCTTAATTATTGATGAAGCTCTGGGCTCCCAGGGGCAGTTTTGGCAGAGGCAGCTGGGGGTTCCCAGCAGAAGAGGTGGCTCTCGGCGACCAGAGACAGAAGATCCACCTCTTGCCCACCCCCCTTCTCAACCCTCCCCAGGTCCACCAGGCTTTCCCCAGGGATCCCTACTGGGACCAGTCATTTAGGAGGAGAAACCAGAGCTTTCCCCTTATACACCCCACAGTGAAAAATGCAGACCAAATTAAAAAAGCTAAAATTTTGAGCAGGCACACTCAGGATGCTCCAATTATTTTTAAAATGCAGCATTAAGAGTTACAAAATAAATATCTTTCAGTCCCTTTAGGTCAAAAGGGACTAGCAGAATTTCCCTCTTGCGCTTTAAAAATGGATAAAAATGGATTAAGATAAGAAAAAAAAAAAATAATTAGAGTGACTCAGAAGCAGAATTTTAAGTTGTGACTTGCTGAGAAATCGAGCTCCAGTTTGGCTTCGGAGCGATTTTCCTGCTTCTGCCACCACAGGAGTTTTTTATTTTATTTTATTCGCCAGCCCCGCATCACAAAAGGTTTGTTTATCCAAGGAAAAGTTTGTTTGTCCCTGCGTGGGACAGGAGCAGAGCCGGGGATATTGTCCCAGGACTCCCTGAGCTCAGACCCTCGGCCGCTAACACTGTGCGGCTGAGATTTATAATTTGGGTAATTTGGGTTCTCCTGCCCAGAAACGAGGAGAAACAAAGCAAAGAACAGCCTCAGAGGCAAGAAATCCTCCCGATGTTTGAGGACACGCTATTCTAAGATCTTTTTCTTTATTTTATTTTTTTTTTTTCCAGGGGAGGCGTGATGCTCCGCAGCGTTTCCAATAGGACTTTGTGTGGTTTTCCTCTCTTCTCGGAGCTTCCTTCCTCCTCCTCTGGGGCGCTGGCAGGTTCGGAGGTTTCGTGACGTCAATTGTGCCTTTTGAAGGTGGGTGCTTTAAGAACTTCATTCCCATGTGTTTAAACAGGAGAAAATTGGTTAATTACATGGGTGCACTCAGCTAATTTGCTTTGCCGAGAGCTGATTATCCGAAAGAACCGGAACTACCTTCTGCTTAAAGGAAAATGGCATTAATGGCACGCGATGGTGAACGGGATGGGTCCCCAAGTGGGTTTCTTAAAGTTCACACAAAGTGGTTGCATCTTGGATATTGTCTAAAGAACCCAAATTTAAGGCCCCAAGTTAAGGCTTTGGGGCCTGAGATCTTTACCCCATCTGAAACGGGGTTGTCTTAAAACTTGTACTTAATGGTGGCCCAAATCTGTGTTTTGCAATAATCTTGGATGTTACTTCTGCTTTACGCTGGTTGTGTGTAAAGGACTAGAGCTGGTACATCTGAGACCCCACCGGTGTCCAGCTCTGGGGCCTCAGCACAGGAGAGCCCCAAGTTAAGGCTTTGGGGCCTGAGATCTTTACCCCATCTGAAACGGGGTTGTCTTAAAACTTGTACTTAATGGTGGCCCAAATCTGTGTTTTGCAATAATCTTGGATGTTACTTCTGCTTTACGCTGGTTGTGTGTAAAGGACTAGAGCTGGTACATCTGAGACCCCACCGGTGTCCAGCTCTGGGGCCTCAGCACAGGAGAGACATGGAGCTGTTGGATGGGGCCAGAGGAGGCCCCAGAGATGCTGGGAGGGCTGGAGCCCCTCTGCTGGGAGAGGGGGCTGAGAGAGTTGGGGGCGTCAGCCTGGAGAAGTCCCTGGGGAGACCTTATTGTGGCCTATCAGTACTAAATAGGGGCCTACAGGACAGATGGGGACAAACTTTAGTAGAGCCTGTTGTGATATGACAAGGAACAATGGTTCTAAACCAAAAAACGGAACATTTAGACTAGATGTAAGGAAGGCATTTTTTGGGGTTGGATGGGACCTCTGGAGATCATCCAGTCCAACCCCCTGCCAGAACAGGTCCACCCAGAGCAGGTTGCACAGGATGTGGTTTTAATGTCTCCAGAGAAGGAGACTCCACCACCTCTCTGGGCAGCCTCTTCCAGGCTGGAAAGAGGAAAAGGGAAAGAGGAAAACCCTCACAGGAAAGAAGTTCCTCCTCGTATTGAGATGGAACTTCCTATATTCAAGTTTGTGCCCATTTCCTCTTGTCCTGTCCCTGGGCACCACTGAAAAAAGACTGGCCCCATCCTCCTGACACCCACCCTTTAAGTAATTCTAGGCGTTGATCAGATCCCCCCTCAGCCTTTTCTTCTTCAGACTAAAAAGACCCAAGTCCCTCAGCCTTTCCTCATAGGAGAGAGCTTCAGGCCCCTCATCATCTTTGCAGCCCTCTGCTGTCCCCTCTCCAGCAGTTCCCTGTCCTTCTTGAACTGGGGAGCCCAGAACTGGTCCCAGTGCTCCAGATGGGGCCTCCCCAGAGCAGAGCAGAGGGGGAGGATGACCTCCCTCCACCTGCTGCTCACACTCTTTGTGATGCCCCCCAGGATGCCATTGGCCTTCTTGGCCACAAGGCCACATTGCTGGCTCATGGTCATCCTGTTGTCCACCAGGACTCCCAGGTCTTTTTCCTCATCTGCAGTGCTTAATTGTAGTGACACGGTAAATTTATAAAGATTTACTCTTGGTTTTATTCTTTCCGTAACCAAGGCTGGAATCCGGCCAAACGCTCAGAAGAATTTAGCACACAGAAACTCCTGCAAGATTAATACAGAGAACAAACAAACAAGCCCAGTGGTATTTGGAGAAAGAAACTCCGTTCCTTGACTAGCACCTTTTCAAACTGAAATCCCAGAGAGGCTGTAAAGTTTAAAACAAATCATAGAATGAATCATAGAATGGTTTGGGTTGGAAGGGACCTCAAAGATCATCCAGTTCCAACCCCCCTGCCCTGGGCAGGGACACCTCCCACTAGAGCAGGTTGCTCAAGACCCCATCCAGCCTGGCCTTAAGTTTAGCTGCTCAAGACTTAAAAAAAAAAATCTAAAATAATAAAAACCACTGGAAAACGTCAAGCTTTTAGCTTCTGCTAACAAACAAAAATTCAAACTCGGGGTGAAATTCGAAAGGCTGTTTTGAGAGGCGCCCACAAAACTCAGGATGCTTCAATATAACATAAATCAATGATTTTGCTGTTTTTTTTCCATCAAGAATAGAACTTTTTTCACCCCGAGCATGGAGTTTACTCGAAACTCTCCGGCAACCTCATGGCATTAAGCGGCAGTTTCGTTGAGGGAAGGCAGGGAAGAAGCCCAACCACAGCAGCCCCATCAGGGCCAATATTTGTGCAGCGCTGAAAAGCAAATCCTGCAAGGTTGAAAAAGTTTCACCCCAGCCTGAAACACAGAGAAAGGCATCCCCTTCTCCCTCACAATAAAGAAAATGCCAGTAATTGCACTGCAATGAATGAGCGTGTCCTGAGGGCAAGAAAGGTGTGCTGTAAACCAAGATATCTCAAAAAAAAAGAAAAAAAACCCAAGAAGGAAGATTTCAGCTGCAGCTAAAACATCTTCAGCCACGGGGACTGCGTGCTTCAGACTCAGCTTCTCCCACCGGACAATAAAGGCAGCTCGAGGAAATTTTTTCATATTCACATCTGCATCTTGACAATGTTTTTCAAACCCCGTTAAGCAACTCAACTGAGCTGAGACAATTAAAAAAAAAAAAAAAGTCCCTATTTTATTCAACGGAACAGGGCAAGGGGGATGTTTTAGATTTACACTGATGAGACACAGCCCAGGCCCAAAGTCAAACCAACAGCTAAGGGGTTTGAATTCTGGTCAGCTCCTCTGGATTATTCCATGCAAACTGGCTGGATTTCAGGGCTGGGCTGGCAATTTGCCGTGGCCAAAGCAGTGTCAGAACCAGGCTCCAGGATGGTGATGGGCTTCTTCCCGTTCCCCCACTTCCAAGCTCACCCATCCCTGCTGACAGCACTCAGCGGAGGGAGATTCAGATGCCAAAATCCATCCCCTGTGTTTAAGCTGCCGAGATCCAGCATTACTTATTTCCAGGCTTACGAACAGAAACAAAGCTCTAATTTGGTTATAAATCTAAATCACAGAATTTCAATGTATAAATGGCAAGACGAACGCACCCGACCAGCCACGCTTTTAAAATCTGTTCCTTCTCTTCGTTTCACAGAAAACTTTGCTCCGTCCAAGACAACTTTTTGATTTCCAGATGCACCACTGAAGGTAACCGAAACGAAGGTTTAATAAAGGCACAGCTGCTTGAGCTTTGTTGCAAAGTTACAACTGCTTGATGATAGTTAACAACTGAGAAAGGAAACCAAGGGAGGTATTTTTATTTCGTTCATTAGTACGGACACTCAGGCATAAACCTTTCATTTGAGTAAGGATTTGGGGAAGAAACAACATTTGGTTTAGATGTAAAAGGAGATCAGTGAAAAAAATTAAGACAGGACTTTGCAAAAATCGGTGAAAAAAATACATACTAAACCCCTCTCCAGTTTCCAGAAGCAGAGCTGGGCTGTCACAAGTGAGAACAAGAGTGGCTTTATCATTAAAGGCAGCAGCAGGGCAATTATTGTTTCCCCCTAGATTCAGAAAAAAAAATAAATTTATCAAGTCCTGCTTTGCAGTCATGCCAGCCTTGGTCCCACACCTTTTTAACGTGGCCCTGAAACTCATGTTGGCCTGTCAGCGTGTCCTGCCTTGAAAAAAAGCTGTATTTAAACACTGGTTTCAGTTGGAGGTAGAGCAATGTCCTCAAGACTGCATGACAGTCTGGCTGGTGTCCTTACACAGACTTCTCCTCTAGCCCTCTGGCACGGGTTCAAATCACCCCAGAGTCCCAGCTTGACTCTTAAATGGTTAAAAGTGCTTGCGGTGCTTCTTTTTCTTTCTCTGCTCTCCTTCCACACACTCATCTGTCTCTTCTTTTTGCCTTTTGTGTTTCTTCTTATGGCGTTTCTTTTGCTTGGCCTCAGAGTCCTCTACGCTGAGATCTTCTCCATCAGATACTCCGGTATAAATTTCTCCATTGCCCATATTTTCATCACAGCCAATGCTTCCCTCTTCGTGCTGCTCTTTATGTTTCCTTTTCTTTTTCCCCAGGTGACACTCCTTTAACGGAGCATCCAGTTCCTTCCCATTCAAGCTTCCTACCTTAGACTGTTTGACTTTTGGTTCCTCGCAACGCTCTGCGCTCTCTGCCTCATCTCTCTTCTGCTTCTTCTTTTTCTTTTTGACTTTGGTTTTCAGTTCTTCCGAAGGCTCCAGAGCCTCCTCAGTTGCCAGGTGGGAATTGTCCCCCTTTGTTTCTGTTTCATTCTGGGAGCCCTTTAGTTTTGCCATGCGTTTGGCAAAATATTCCTGTACGGTGAGGACACTCTTCACTGTGTTGTACCCATCCCTGGGCTCAGAGAGCCAGTTGTTCCCCTGTTTCTCCTCCTGAGACTCAGGACTGGTCAGATCCTCCTGCAGGTGAACAAAGAGGAGAGGGGTGAGAGTCAGAAATACCAGCTATAAAAATAAGGTTCTTTTTTTTTTCACACTAATAAAATATACTAAAATACAGCATTTCACTGAATTTTCACTGAATTTTTAGATTGGCTTTAAAAATAAGATTCTTTTTTTTTCACACTAATAAAAAAATATTAAAATACAATATGGTGCTTTGAATATTGTGAAGCACAAACACAGGTTGGGTGGAGAACGAACAGAGAGCAGCCCTGAGGAGAAGGACTCTCTATGGTGCTTTGAATATTGTGAAGCACAAACACAGGTTGGGTGGAGAACGAACAGAGAGCAGCCCTGAGGAGAAGGACTTGGGGTTGTTGGTGGATGAGAAGCTCAACACGACATGACAATGTGCTCTGGCAGCCCAGCAAGCCCCCTGCCCCCTGGGCTGCATCCCCAGCAGCGTGGCCAGCAGGGCCAGGGGGGGATTCTGCCCCTCTGCTCCGCTCTGGGGAGACCCCCCCCCAGTGCTGCCTCCAGCTCTGGGGCCACCAACAGCAGAAGGACATGGAGCTGTTGGAGCGGGGCCAGAGGAGGCCCCGGAGATGCTGGGAGGGCTGGAGCCCCTCTGCTGGGAGGGGGGGCTGAGAGAGTTGGGGGGGGGTCAGCCTGGAGAAGAGAAGGCTCCAGGGAGACCTTAGAGCCCCTTCCAGTCCCTAAAGAAGGGGGGAACCAGCAGAGATGGGGAGGGACTCTGGATCAGGGAGGAGACCATAGGACAAGGGGAAACAGTTTGACACTGAAAGAGGGGAGATTGAGATGAGATCTCAGGAAGAACTTCTTTGCTGTGAAAGTGGTGAGAGCCTGGCCCAGGTTGCCCAGAGAAGCTGTGGCTGCCCCATCCCTGGAGGGGTTCAAGGCCAGGTTGGACAGAGCTTTGAGCAACCTGGTGTGGTGGGAGGTGTCCCTGCCCAGGGCAGGGGGGTTGGAACTGGGTCATCTTCAAGATCCCTTCCAACCCAAACCATTCTATGTTTCTATGAAAGGTACAGACTTGGGCAGAAGTAGGAGACAGCCCTTAATGCAGAAGATTTAGGGAGAAGAGGTGACACTATAGAAGGCAGCAAGAGAATTCAGAACCAGACAATCCTCTGTTGGGTTGAACTTCTTACTGTTTCCCTCCTCCCATGCAACTCATGCAGATTATGTATGACACTATCATACTCGGTGTATTACACTCACTTTGCAAAGGCACATGTTTCTACAAGATAGAAACCGAGGCGAAAAATAACAGAGTACAATCTCTTTGCCTGTGGCATAAAGGAAATCCCGTGCCTGGAACACCCCTACAGCAAAGTGCAAAAACCTCTGATACCGGGCGCAATCCGGCATCGATGCATCTCTTCCCTCTTATCTGATCTTTAGAAATGCTGGTTTCGTAGCTGGTTGACTGTCATTGTGTGTCCCAGATGTTGGTATTTAAACACGCTCCATTTGATCGTACGTTATCAGATGGCAAAACCAACATCACGGGTTAGATCTTACAAGGCTTCTGCATACACTAAATAAATAGCTGCTCAACTCCAGCTGCAGGTGAATAGCTATAAAAAGAGCCTACTATCTAGAAAGTAAATATAAAATAAAAAGCAAAGCGTAGCTCTGGAGCTGGATGTTATGTACGGCACGAAGAGAACTGACTCTGAAAAAGCAAGGAATGCAACAAGATGCAAACACACAACTGGTTAAATTATCTGTGACTTACAACATAAACAACCCCAAAAGGCAGCTGAAATTCAGACTCCTTTGCACAGAGAGTGAAGCACTCAAAAATAACCCTTTGCGGCATATCCTTTTGCTTGGCAAATATCACAGATGACACTTGGAAATGTCCCAAATTTTACATTGCTTTTTTTTTTTTAAAGCCTTGGACGAACTGCAGGTAAATGCACACACCTCCCTCGATGGGAAAAGCTGAGCAGGTGAGAAGTGGGAGTAGAAACCTTACCACCATCTGGCCTACAACACGCTTCTTGAACGGGAGATGATCAGCAACTATTGGTCAGTAGGACAGAGACACTTCCCTGATTTTCCATTCATAAATGCAGGGATAGAGAAGAGCATCCCCTCTGCCCATCTGTCCTGTATGTGAATGGAAGTGACTATAAAATGCCAGCAAATCAGAGCAGTGATATTCATACCCACTCTCCCTGGCAGAAATGGATACACCAGGTGAAGGCCAGCAGCAAATTGGGAGATATAAACCCACTTATCTCAACCCTTTACAGTTACTGCGTGATGGTGTAGATAAGAGATCTGGCTCTCTTCAGGGCATCGTTAAACTCGCTGCCTGAAGCAGGGTTTATCAGGGTTTGGGAGTAAGATTTTGCAGGTCAGACTCCTTCTGCAGCCATAACCTTTACTCAGTCGCACGAGCAGGAATGCTTTACAGTTACTGCGTGATGGTGTAGATAAGAGATCTGGCTCTCTTCAGGGCATCGTTAAACTCGCTGCCTGAAGCAGGGTTTATCAGGGTTTGGGAGTAAGATTTTGCAGGTCAGGCTCCTTCTGTGGCTGTAACCTTTACTCAGTCGCACGAGCAGGAATGCAAAAATTTGTGTCATTAGCGATGCATTACGAGTAGCGATTTCCTCATACATCTGCTTTCAAGAGAGCCATTCCAGTGGAACAAAAGCAAGGCCACACTTGAGATTCCAGCAGTGTTTGTGTGGGCACTTATCAAAATTAGGTGCTTTTCTTGTAGGAATACCTTGTAGTGTACCCGTCAGGAAAGTTTGTGAAGTTACTGAAACTATTTGACTCCTGGCAAAGAAGAGATGTTGAACCTGGGGAAAAAAAAAAAAGCCCTATACACATCTATAGATACAGATATTTGGAAAGGGAGCTGCAGTAGAAGTTTGACAAGTCAGAATCCATAGAATAAGTGGATTTTTTGGTAGCCACTGTCTTTTGAATAAGGTACACCTCCCAACCTGAGCAAGCAGTGTTAGAGTGGATCAAAAATAGATGCCCCGCTCCAGCAGAGTTAAACAGGGCACTTTCTTTTCCTTTTCCTTCTACCCCCGGCAGGATTTTGACACCTTGGATTGCAAAATGACAAACGGTCTCCCCAGTTTTGTGCCGCTGATGCCAGCCAGAACAGTTTCCCTCCCCACCCCAATATGTTAAACCTACTTGCCACCAGAACACCAATTACCCCCTGGCCAACCAGGAAAGGATTTTCTCATTCCCTTGGTGACTTCAAGTTCCTGACAACTTAATTACTGTAATTGAAGGCAAATATTACTTGAACTCTACACATTTCTTTTATAAAATACATTAGACATAAAAAAAAAAAAAACAAAAAACGTTCCTTTGGTTAAGCTGAGGAGTTCAGTAGGTATGCATGAGCCCAGAAAATAAGAACCTTGCTCAGAAACTCCTTTATTGATAAGAATTTTAATAACCATGGGCCACTGAACACAGAACCAACAGGGCATGGAGACAAGCAAAGAGGTGCCAACCCTAGAAAACCTCTCAGTTTAGGAAAGGCTTATGTGAAACCATAAATCACCTGGAAAAGGCTGTTAAGTGCCAGAAGTGTTCCCCCTCCCGTGATGTACCTGTCCCAGTAGCCATGGGAACACCACTGAACTCTAAACATGGGTGTTCTCTAACCTCTCCTCGGGAGACTCACAGTTTGTGCAACTCCTTCCCTGCTTGCCCCACCGCATGCATGTAAGATTCAAATAAAAATAAGATTATAGAATCATAGAATGGCTTGGGTTTGAAGGGATCTTGAAGATCAACCAAGGCGAACCTCCCTGCCCTGGGCAGGGACACCTCCCACCACACCAGGTTGCTCCAAGCCCCTTCCAACCTGGCCTTGAACCCCTCCAGGGATGGGGCAGCCACAGCTTCTCTGGGAAACCTGGGCCAGGCTCTCACCACCCTCACACCAAAGAATCTCATCTCCATCCCCCCCCTTTCAGCTTAAAACAGTTCCCCCTCATCCTAGGGCTCCCCTCCCTGATCCAGAGTCCCTCCCCAGCTTTCCTGGAGCCCCTTGAGGGACTGGCAGGGGCTCCAAGGTTTCCCCGGAGCCTTCTCTTCTCCAGGCTGACCCCCCCCAACTCTCTCAGCCTGTCCTCCCAGCAGAGGGGCTCCAGCCCTCCCAGCATCCTCATGGCCCTGATATACACACTTATATGATATACATACTTAAATGTTTACTCTGTTGCTGCAACTTCTGAAAAGCAATGTAATACACAAGATAGAAGACAGAAAGAAACACTCCAGCTCCAAAGAACTGATGATCACAAAGGTAAAGACCAATCGTGCTGTAACTGGTGGGTGGCCTGAAGACTGGGCTTTGAAGGAGATACATGTGTCCACGCTGTGAGTTCAAAAATTGCCAACAAAAATGGGCTGAGAAGGTGAAGACAAAAGGAGTTGGGAATACTGGTCTCTAGGGAACTGGTAGGATGGTCCCACGCAAGAGAAAAGGGCTGCTTGAAACATGGTGTTAAATGTGGAACGATTAAGAGGAAACAATAGGAAAATTCAAGGAGAGGTTGGGAAGTGCACAGGAAAAGATGAAGGTCAATTATAGCCAGAAGTTCCCTGTAAATATCATCTGTTTATGTAATTAGTTAAATGTATGGAAAATAATTGGAAGTACATAAAGCACTCTAAATACCACCGTGGTTTTTTTTCACTGACTGCTTTCTTCACTTGAGGCACACAATGCTGATTTAATCATTAAGTTAGTACACTGAAATCCTGGTTCCCTTGATTCCTGCAGGATCAGGATTGCATCTTGAAGGCATCACACTCTCAGAGCACCTCTCAACCACAGTTATTTAGTGAAGAAAAAAATAAGGGATTTAATAGGTCAATTATATAAAGAAAACAATTCCCATCGCATCATGAAAACAGTTTGGCCAAAGCCCAAAGTAGAAAACATTTAGACATCTAATGAAATCAAATTAGTTTGAACCCCAAATATCTTTGGAGATTTA